AATATTGACTTGTTTAAATTGTTAATTTCATCTTGTGTCAGATCGCACTACGAATCAAGAAACTATTTTTCTGGGTATGCATGGTTGGCGCTTACCTGTGTCACGTTATAACGAATGTGACATGGTATTATATTTAACGTGACACAATTCACATTATATAGAATGTAACTTCACAGTATTTGAATTGAAAATTGTCTTCTCTAGCGAAACAATTTTGTCTGTCGTTGGATGCGCGTAAATCCGTTACTTCGTTGCGGACTAAATTGTTCTTTTACATTTAGAGTGTGAACAGTTCGCTGGGAGTTGCTAAAGTACACTCTGCATGTGCTAGGGAGTACATGTGGAGTACGCAGAATACACCTGGAGTACGCCCGAAGTACAGTAACAGTACGGGACACAGGAACACACCAGTTGTCGGCCCTCGCGGCAACTCCGTTCAACGGAAGGGCCGGTCTGCTTTGTTCTAAATAGTGTAACACGTACTCTTAACGACAAGCGCGTTTTCGGTTGTTTGGTTTTCCTTGCGTCAGATACCCCTTCTGCCGTGAGACCATACCATGCGGATGCGCCGCAAAAGGATGAGTTGCAGAGGAGCGGCTGGGGCGGGGTGGGCTGAATGGAGGGGTTGGCGTGAGGGGCTGGGTGGGAGGGAGGGTTGGTGTGAGGGGCTGCGGGGAGGGGAGGGGGGAGTAGGAGGGTTTCCTTGCCTTCTTACGGTCGATAGGGTGGGCGAGGGAGGGGGGCGGGTCTGCGGGTCTCGCGCCGCTATGGGCGGACGGACCGCCGGACGGACGCTGAGCTCTCCGGCTGCGGTTTACGACTCGCACTACGCAACCCCTTTCCTTTGGCGCCACCGTAACTCGCGAATGGAGAATACTAAAAGGGCGTCGAGCTCACGTCACGTCCAAAGCAGGGCAATTATATATCCTGCTGTGAAAAATATTTGTATGGTTTTACGTGAAAATATCCTATGAAGTTTGTCGTAAATTTACGAAAAGTGCACAATTAGAAGCAGTACGCGTTTCGACTTGGCAATCATCGACGAGCAAGAATACACTGTTATAAATTTACAACATATTTTGTAAATATTAATTACAAAACTTATTATAAATTGACGAGGACACTCTAGAAACTCAGGCGTGCCCTTGCTCATGTGTATGCAGGAGTTAGTGTATATTTGGCCAAGTAATTGACCCGACTTTTTCTACTTATTTTTTTTTTTTTTTTAAATCGTGACGATGTACATTTGTGTACAGGGATGTTGAAGCATGCACAAAAAAAAATGGAAAACTTTTTCTGGCAGGGTTCCATTCTATAGATTACGCGGCGTTATTGCGGCGTGATGCAATTGCTTGGTCCTCGGCTAGCCTCCGCTAAAGCCATTTCCCGCACCTTAGGCCGATTAAACGCTTATCGTGTTGTAGTATAGAGAGCAAACTTTTCACGTGTTTTTATTTTTTTTTTGCTAATTGTATTTACAATCATGATGTGATTTAGTGATGCGTAGGGCTGGGGGCTGGGTCGCAGAGACAGGGTTCTCTGCACTTTACAACCCGTACGCGTACTCATCGGTTACTCTCTCTGCCCTGGAAACTCACACTGCAAAATTTTTCCGAAGAATTTCGAAGCATTGTAAGGAAGTTTGCAGTGCAAACTATTTTCTTTGCATTGCAGACTATTTTCTTCGCAAGTTGCGAAGAAATGGTTTGCAAGGTTACGAACTAATTCTTTGCAGCGCTGTGAACAATTTTCTTCGCAAGGTGCGAAGAATTAGTTTGCAATGCGAAGTATTTAGTTCGCAATGCAAAGCATTTTACAACGCTTCAAAATTATTTGCACTGCAAAGAATAGTTCTTCGCAGGCTTTTTACACGGTAGAGCCCCGTGGTAAAAGGTATGTGCCCAAGTGTGTACCTGGCCATGTATACACTATTTGATGCATACCTGATCACGTACGCAGTATTTGCTGCATACATATAGGTAATCAGCAAATGCCAGAAAAAGTATAGTCAAAAATGTCCGTCCATCACGCGATTTGTGAGCGACTGAGAGGCGCTGAGCTGTTTTGCCAGACATGTCCAGACTCGCCATCTCAAGACGCGTCTACTCATATTTTTCTCAAAACCGTAGCACCTCTCTGTCGCTCACAAATCGTGACGTACGGAAACACCTCTGTCTGCCCCTCCCTCTCTCTGAGCGCATCGGCCCCACCCCACTTTCGTGTTCTAACTTTCACTGCCAAAGCCTGATTGGGTTCTAGACGGCCGTGTGTGTGTGCGTGCGCGCGCGCGCGCGCGCTTTGCTGTGCGCGAAAGCGTGTCAATTGGCTGTCTGGCGCAGATCGGGCTTGTTAAGGGAGGGAAGCGGGGAGGCATATCTTTAAAGACACACACGATCCCGGAACTTCTCTTCCCCTTTAATGATAAACGGCCATTTGGTTTTGGTCCACACGTTTGTTCCCTTATTCGCTAACGCGTTGCACCCTCTGTGCTGGGGTCCATTCTAATAGACGAGTGTTACGCGTTTGTCTACACAACATGTTGAGAGTGACCAGACCCCATCGCCGCCTGTAAAAGCACTTTGCGTTTAACACCCTGGGATTATAGCTTCCTCACTCTCAGCCTGTTACTAGCATGTTGCAAATATATTTGCTTAGTGATTATTATTTGCTATATTGAGTATTTTGACCAACTGACGACATGATCACTTATTACGAATCGTCAAAGTATTGAGGTGGGTGCCGCAGCCATAGCAGCCAGCCCCCTCAAAATGAGTAACTTTGAGGCTCTTCCCTCATTTATAGAGGGATATCCCTTAAAGTAACCGACTTTCATCAAAATTTGAAGACAGATGAGGAAGCGTCCTAAAAGTAAGTGTTTTTCTCGATGTACACTTTTTGTGTCCAGTTCCACACCCCTCGAGGAATACTGACAATGGGTCAAAAAAATCAGTGCGCCTCATAAAATCAGACTTTTTACCGTGCTCAAAGTACACATTTGGAAAGTACCTCGATCAGTTCATACGGCGACCACTCACATTATTTTACATGTGAAAAGTGTCACATTCTTTTGGATGCTACTGTCCTATTGAAACGAATGTGGCCACATTATTGAAACGAATGTGACATGACGATTTAACCAATCTAACAATTGTTACATTTTAAACAATGTGATGTCACATGAATAAAATGACAGAGCAGCCTCTCAGTTTTTCGCCTGGTATCAGAACAGGAAATTTGCCGAACCGGTCGAAGCGGCTTTGTCGTCATTTGAGCGCGCTGCGCGTTGTTGGTTGGGTTGGGTCTACTGGGCTTTGTGCCGTACCAGCCTGAAACGTAACTAACACTGTTAAATTTCTGCCTTTGCAAAAGAATGCTTTGCAGACATTTTGCATGTCTCAAAAAATGTTTTGCAATTCCAATGTTAATGCTTTAAAGTGTACATGTACATGTAACACTCTTCCAAAATCGGCGAAATAAACTCCGATGCCTACTGTTTTGCATGTATCGATCACAACCTCGATGTGTGGCCAGAGCGTTGTCGAACCTAAAAAATGTGACCTAGGGGCTCCAAATGATAAAATTTAACCCCAAAAACCCGTCTCAAAAAAACAACATAGAAACTAGATGTGAACAGTGAAATTTTGACTGGAAATGCACTTCTTTTTGACAAGCACACAATTATTACCTTAGTATACTATGACTTTTTGGGACTAACTTCCTCCGTGGACGCGTTGGAAAAAAATAAAAAATAAAACCTTACGATTTCAAAATCGTAAATGTACCAAATTCTTGGTCGGGACGAGACTGTGGAGGAGGGGGGTAGATGAGCTGGGTTCGTATAGTGGGAATAGTGGGTTCATAGTGGGCGATGTGCGACGGTGGTGGTGGTACGTGGGGGGGGGGGGCGTACCTCGCCTCTGGGAATGGCATCATTAGCATGTGACACACTCCAGCCGAGCGCGCGACTCGCCTCTCGCCCCCCCCCCCCTCTTCTCTCTCTCTCTCAGTCTCACCGTCACCCCGGTCTCTCTATCAGGCTCAGCAAATATTAGTGTATTACATGTTACAAATAACATTGTAAATGTTACACTGTAAAAAAGACGGAATTATTTACTAATAACTAAATCAGTAAAGGTCTGAGAGTGTTTATAACAGTATCCAAATTAACAGTTTAAAACTGTTGTTAATGCTCTAGATTATTCTTCCAGTGGAGTGTGCAAGTTGATATTTTATCCACGACTCGTCCACGATGGAGCGCTGAAAGAGAGGCGGCACTGCTAAACTCCCATCCTGTTCTTGATTTTTTCCCCCAAAACCTTTAAAAGCCTTTGACAACTTTCTAATCAGTATGCAAATGAATTCCTTTTTACTTAACTGACATTTTTTATCAATAAGTTACAAAATTAAAATATAACAAATTTGTAAGTGCATCGATAAACTAAGTGCAACTGCTTAACACTTGTGAGTGTACAAACGATTGTTCAGCCTCGTAGTAGTACACTTGCAATATTCAACTCGGTAGCTGTCACTTGCAAGTGTGCAACCCTGAACCCTGTTAAGCTCTTCCCACGTAGTGAGCGTCCAATTTAAGTGTGTAACCAAGGAGTTTGTTGCAAACTTGCAAGTGTACCAGGTGACTGATTTAAGCCGCGCGGGTGCTTGCGGGCTTTCCTATCGTAGCTGCACACGGCTCCTTATAGCCCAGTGCGAGTAGGCAACCCGCCCGCACGCATGCATGCGGTACAGTACAACTACGAAAGTGAAAGTGCGCGACGTGAGTCAGCCACCTGGTACAGCTACCGAGTTCAACACTTACTAGAGTACACCTACGGAGTTAAACGCTTACAAGTATTCGACATGAAGTTGCACAGTGTAATCTTGGTGCGGAAAGACGTAAGGTATTTACTAAGAAATAACTCAGTACAGGTCCGAGAGAGCGGGTCTGAAGAGTTTTCTGTGAAGAGTGTCGTTTACTGACACTTTTGTTTTTCTGTCCGCAGACACCCCGTTCCCACCAAGTCACAAGCTCTCCGTGACGGAATGCTTCGACCAGCGCACCGGCAAGCCCAGGCCCGACGTGCTCAAGCAGCACTTCTTCGCGGAGGGGCGCATCGACGAGGCGGCGGCGCTCAAGATCGTGCACGAGGGCGCCACGCTGCTCAAGTCAGAGAAGACCATGATCGAGATCGAGGCCCCCGTCACAGGTGAACAGCTTCTCTACACATTTAAATGTAAAGTGTGTGACATTCCAACACGAGGGAGGGACGGACGGACGGACGGACCTTGCTGCTTCACACACGGCCGTGAAAAAAAAATTGTATACGGCACGTATATGGCGCCATGTATGTCCGGACGCGCTCAAACATATATTTGACATATAACTTGTGCATATATATCCCATATATTGCCATATACGGCCATATATTGGCCATAAACGCCCCGCCATGTATGGCACATATATTTCATGATCTGTCTCATATATGGGCCGTGTGGTCAGTGCCATATATTTCCTTAAGTTCCTTAATGACAAATGTTTGCGTACCTTGGTGGATGCATTTCACCGGTGAACACGACTCCTTGGAAATTGCCTCTTATACTTGGGAAACTAGGAAAAAAAGCTTGGTTACCGCATGAAAAATTATAGCATCAGGTTGTCATTTGTTTGTCATCTTGCCGATGACAAACGGATGGCAAACGGATGACAAACCGATGACAAACTGGCTGCTTCCGTCGCTCCAGATCGCTGGAGAATGTTCCAACCGAACCTGCTTTTACACGCGAAGTGCCCTAGTTGTCTATACTAGCCTACACCGAAAAAAAAGAATCATTGTTCCAACGACCGTCGTGTTCTTGTGGCCGGGTTGTTGGTCCAAAGACACGATGTTGCTAACCCTATGACAGCCGGTAGTTGTGCCACCGACCATGTCGTTGAGCCAGCAATCATGGTCGTTGGAATAGCATCCTATGTTTCTGAAGCCATTCCAAGAACAACTCATGTCGTTGGTACAATGATTCTTTTTTTTGCGTGTATACGGTGTCCAAGTCGTGGAAGTGGAGTAACCATAAGTCGGTCGGAGGATGTAGATTAAGTCCTCCGCAATGGTGGCGTTAAATATTCTCTAGCTATAGCCGTTCAAAAGATGCTTTTCGAATTATTTTTTTCTCTCTGAAATTAATATAGTACGTTATCCTCATACATCACAGTAAGCCGTTTTTCTCTACGTCGCTTACTTTAATCCGCGCCTGGTTTCACGCGTGACACATGTCATCCTCTCAAGTGTTGGAATGTTGTGCGCCCTACTCACGGTAAACAAAAAACTCGGATTCCGAGGCGGAAATCTCGATTTCCGAGGCTGTCCTAATTCCGAGCTACCGATCTCGAAATCGGGTAAACGTGTCTCGAAAACCGAGTCACCTGTTACCCGTTTCCGAGAAACGGTTCCCGGATTTCGAGAGACGATTCCCGGATTACGAGCTCATTACCTCGGAATCAGAGCAGAGCGGCTCTAAATCAGGCTTTGGATGCTCGAAATCGAGAGGATGGTTTAAAAGTTGATTTCCTGCCTCAAAAATTAAAATTTGCAATTTTTTCACGCCTCGGATTCCGAGTTTTTTGTTTACCGTGCGTGTGTGTGTGTGTGTGAACAGTGTGCGGTGACATCCACGGCCAGTTCTACGACCTGATGAAGCTTTTCGAGGTCGGCGGACCGCCGGCCACCACCAAGTACCTGTTCCTCGGAGACTACGTGGACAGAGGATACTTCAGCATCGAGGTGAGTGGAACAGTGGGAATATTTGTATCTTGTAAAGGGGGGCGATCCAATGTTGTCGATAGTAACCATTGTTTTCTCTTTTGCTTTAAAATGTTTGCAGTGTGTCTTATATTTATGGGCACTCAAACTTTGTCACCCGACTACCCTATTTCTATTACGAGGAAATCACGAGTGTAGGCATTTGACAGAGTACTTTACTTTTAAACAAGAATGTGAGTATATACTTCCTGTGTTTTTGAGTGGTTGGAGGATAAAGCAACAAGTCCTTCACCACCGACCAAAAGTTTGAAATAAACATATTAGAGCCATGGCAAAAGAGTTTTATCACGCTACATTTATTTTCCTATTTCATTTTTTGCCGCAGGTAAAATAAAATATTCCGAGAGAGTGTATGACGCGTGCATGGACGCGTTCGACTGCCTGCCGCTAGCGGCGCTCATGAACCAACAGTTCCTCTGTGTTCACGGCGGCCTCTCGCCCGAGATCCACGTCCTCGATGACATCAGAAGGGTGAGTTCCTCTCTGTGGAAAATATCAAAATGTCATCGTAAATGTATAAAATTTATAGTGATTTTTAAGTTTTTAAATGTGTTGCAAATTTGCGAGATTCCATTCTCGCTGACACAAATCTCGATCAATTCCGAGTCGATACGAAGGGCTTCATTATTGTGAAAAATATCCTTGTTACGATATATTTAGTAATTTATAATTGCAAAATATGTTCTAATTTAATGACACCCCAACCTTGCTCGTCGATGAACTCCGAGTCGATACATAGTGTTTGTAATTTTACAATTTTGAATCGTGATTCGTAATTCTACGACACGCTTCGTGGAAAATTTTCCCGTAAAACCTTCAACTCTTTTTCACAGTGTTGTAGATTTACAATAATCTCAAACTGTAATTTTGAGGCACACATCATGGAAATTTTTCCCGTAAACCTACCGCAACTTTTCACAGTGGCTGTGCTCCCCGCCGCCTCCGCCGCGAGCTGAGCTGGCCGAGCCCCTGACGGCGGCAGGGTAGGCCGTGCCGCTGGACAGCCGTGTCTGACGGGCGGGCCTACCAGCCGCGCGCAGGGGCTCCCCCGGCTCCGCTCTGCGTGTCTCTAACAGCCCTCTGACCTCGCTTGCAGCTGGACCGGTTCAAGGAGCCACCTGCCTTTGGACCAATGTGTGATTTGCTGTGGTCCGACCCCCTGGAAGACTTCGGCAATGAGAAGAACGTTGAGCACTTTACACACAATAGCGTTCGGGGCTGCTCTTACTTTTATAGGTAAACTTGTTCATTTAGCTGTGCGCCCCCCCCCCCTCCCCCCTCACCTCTCCAATTCTTGCACACTGTTAAAAGATTACGGTGGAAATTCTGCCGTCCTGTGTTGCAGAGTTCCCTGTAACATATGATGAAATTCACTGTAATCTTTTATCAGTGCACCTATGTACAAAGTATCTACAACGATCTTCTCTCGCCATGTTTCAGTTATGCGGCTTGCTGTGATTTTCTGGCCAATAACAACTTGCTCTCAATAATCAGAGCACACGAAGCACAAGATGCGGGGTATGTGGAAAGTAGTGAAGTGAATGTGTCTGATGTTAATTGCCTTCTTTTTGGTTGTGGTTTTGGGAGTAACTTAGTGGTTAGTTTAATTTTAATGTGATTGCATGATCTTGTTTGCCAGATATCGAATGTACCGCAAAAGTCAAGTAACTGGGTTTCCTTCCCTCATCACCATATTTTCTGCACCAAATTATTTGGATGTGTACAACAATAAGGTACATCAGTATTGAAGTCTTTTCTAATTGTTTTTTTGTTTGGAATTTTGCTTTAAAGCCTGAACATTTTTATTTTGTCTGTTTTGCAGGCTGCTGTATTGAAGTATGAAAATAACGTAATGAACATCAGACAATTTAACTGTTCACCTCACCCTTACTGGCTTCCAAATTTCATGGATGTTTTCACCTGGTCCCTTCCATTTGTTGGTGAAAAAGGTACATAGTGTGGTGTGCATTCTTTATTTATTTGGTTAAAGCTTTACTGTACTGTACCAACCCATCTTTGCAGTTACTGAAATGCTGGTGAATGTATTGAGCATCTGCTCAGATGATGAGCTCATGTCTGATGGGGATGAAACTCTTGAAGAAGGTAAGGTATCTAATAATTTTCCAAATTACCAAAACTTTTCATTTACCTTAAAATGAAACTTTCATAATTTTTCAAATTCTAGAACTTTCTTATCCTTTTATTTTATGGTTATCAGTATCCATGGTGTGGAGAGATCTTTCGTGAATTCCATTTGTGTTGTAGTCTTGTTGGGTTATGTGACTTTGTCTTAAACTGCAAATTTTTCAGCACTCAGTAGTTGACTCATTTAAATTGTTTCGAGTTTCAAGGTTTTGCCTTAAGTGTGTTTATTTCAATTTTACTATGTGTGTTAATTTTT